CTGGCTTCAACTCCCCTCTGCCCCAACCAGTAAAAACAATTTGATGAGAACAGTAGTCTAACTAATCTAGAACTGGAGAGCTGAGTGGTTTAGGTCTCTGCCTATGGAGCCAGAGGTTGGGAGTTCGATTCCCCACTGTGCCTTATTGACAGGGGCTGGACTGGATGACCATTAGGGTCCCTTCCAGCTCCACAGTTCTAAGATAATATTCTAAGACTATATTCTCTCTTGAATTATAGGGTGTCTGTGCTCTTCTTTTTCTCTCTCTCTGCTGAAAAAGCCACAGATTCTGTGGCTTGTGTTGCAGAGAAACTCTTCCGAGTGCCTGATCCTTTTAATCTGTCCTCCTCTAACATCCTGTCAGAGGCAGGGTGACCGGATCTCCACATTGCGTTCCAAAGGCGCTTTAGATTTATATAATGGCATTGATGCCTGCAATTTTTATTTTCAGTCTGTTTCCTAATAACTCCCTATACCAAGCTCCCATCTCATGGATGCTGCTGCTTGCTAGTTACAGCCAATTTCAACTCCATCACTGCATTGGAAAAGGGAAAATTATTATTATTATTGAGCAGCTGGTATGTTGCCATGCGTTCTCCCTGGCCAGATCTGGTTTGTCACTCTGTCGAGAGGGCGCCCACATTGGGAGAGATCCTGCTGGAGCTTTTTTTTTCCCCCAGAGTGTTTTTCGGCACACACTTTCCCAATTCACTTTGTAAATATTATTTTTTAAAAAATCTACACATCATCTGCAAAGGCCAGAGTATGTATCTGCTCTCCTTCATCATCCTAAAAACGAACAAAGGAGGTAAAAATGCTTCTGGTCCTCATTGTTTCATTCTTAGATCTGTGCCATTCGAATTCCTTTTCAGTTTGCATTGATTTGCAATTATTATGGGTTTTTTGAAAAAAAGGGACAAAATTTATGTGCTTTTAAAGTCATTTATCTCCAACAAAATGTTTCAATTTGTGGCCATTTTGCCTTTAAACATGCATTTGAAGCAAATTCATCCTCAAATACCTATTCATCCTTTGAGTGGTCACCCTCCACAGTGTATTTTACACCCTTTTTCTTAAAGGCGAGCTCTGTATATCCCACAATCTGGATCTATGAAACATGCCAGGACTTAAAAGGAAGCACTCTGAATCAGATCAAAAATCGGCCTGGCTGTCATTCTGTTTCCTCTTATTTTTGACATGTTGAGACCCACCCATTTTTTTTTAAAGGCCAACCACTGCAAGATTTGTTAGTAAAAAACTCCAGCCTTGGTAGGGTGAGGAACCTTGCTTCTTCCCCCCCCCCAAAAAAAAGCTTATATTAGCACACCCAACAAATCTTGTATTTACACACCAAAAAGCCTGGTTTTTGTGTGGTTTTTAAACAAGCTTGCATTTTCTGCACCATCCAAGGGGTTTTGTGCATAATCCAAGACATTAATGCAAAATCCAACTTTTGTTCATGCAAAAACCCATTCCCGCAAATTGTTCACTAAAAAGTTGCCAAAATTAACAAAAACACACAAAGATTTCACACTGGTGGCAATGTTTCTGGATGTTTTGCTAAGTAGTAAGTAACTGGAGCATGCCCACTGAATCCATGGAACTTACAGAGGAGTAGACTCGCCAAATTCCCACTGATTCAATGGGCCTACTCCAGCTGCAATTTACCGCTGGCTTTCAGCCTTTTCATCACTCACCAAGAGGAGGCAGGAGCAAACCAAAGCAAGGCGAAAAAGCAAGGTGAGGTCAGGAGACAAGACTGGAGGACAGGTCAGGGAAGAGAACCATCCAGCAACGTTGGGGAAGGGAGAGAGAGAGGGGAGGTGGGAAGGAGATGATGATGAAGGCCGGCTGCCTTTCTCCTCCCACCTTGGGAGATGGGAAATTTTGAGCCACCATTGGGCTGATAACAACCCTAATAGGACTTTCAAAGTACAGTGGTGCCTCGCTTAACGACGTTAATTCGTTCCAGCAAAATCGCTGTAGAGCGAGAATGTCGTAAAGCGAAATAAAAAAGTCAATCGAAACGCACTGAAACCCCCTCAATGTGTTCTAAGGGGCTGAAAACTCACAGTCCAGCAAAGATCCTCCATAGGGGTGGCCATTTCCGCTGCCTGTAAAGCGAGGAACCCGTCCAAAAACACAGCGGGGAGCCATTTTAAGCAGCCGGTGGCCATTTTGAAACCCAACGATCAGCTGTTTTTGATCGTCATAAAGCAAAAATCGGTTCCCAAAGCAGGGAACCGATCGTCGTTAAACGAAAAAACCCACTTAATGAGACAAGATTAAGTGATCAGAGGAGCCGCCAGGCCACTTATCCAGAAACTGGATTTGCTTTCAACTGAGTGAAGACAACACCATGGGGGTCATCATAAATGGCTCATCCAGGGTGACTGTTAAGTATCCCCCACAAACACACTTTCTAAACACCCTGGTCTCTTTGTAGGGGAAAACCGCAGCCATGCCGATGTCCACCCCACAGAGACCGAGGCAGGATGCGTTCTACTATCCATCTGGGTGTCAATCTGAGCGGACACTCTTCCACCCCACCCGGGTCATCAAGTATGTCTTTCTGGACGGGAGTCAGAACATCGTCCCATCATTACACACTTCTTCTCCTGGCTTGGAGACCCCCGTTGGGTACCTGGAGTCGGCCAAGCGCTACTATTGCCCTCTTGCCTGCCCGGACCATGGCCTGGCCAGCGCTTACTGGCCTCCCGACCTGGAGCGCCTCCCCATCTTCGTCACGCTCTCCAAGAGCCAGGAAAGAAGCAGCAGGAGCTGGGGGCGGCCCCCGCTTTCTCGGGACCGGCTGCCGGTTTTCCGGAAGTTATGCAGAGAGGCTGCTCTCTGGGGGTCCCAGCGCCACGAGGACTCGGTGGGTCCCAAGACCGCCAAGGATGACCCAGAGAAGACTGGGGAGATGAAGGGACCTGGACTTGGGGGAAAACTGGAGGCCGAGAAAGAAAAGGAGCCGGACAGTTCTGTGTCCCAGCTGACACTCTAAGGGAAAGGGGAATTCAGCTCTAAGGGGATTTTTTTTCCAAACTCACAATGAAATCTGTGGTGCTGGGCAGCCTTTTGAATTGCTTATCCTTGCCTCACCGCCTCCAAAGATCCAGAGACACGTGTGCTTCTCCTGGGATTCTGGATGGTTACACAGATGTGGGCAGTATCCTCACAATCTACACAAAAATGGTTGTGGGGTTTCTGCAAACAGAAAAAAGCCCTTGAATGACAAAAACATCTAAGGTTTAGGACGACGACCCTGGAGTTGAAGATGAAGTGCTGTGGGTTTTCTTTGTAGACTAGAATCGACGGACTAGATTGATCTATAGGGTCCTTTCCGCTTCTACATTTCTATCGTTCAAGCAGAGCGGTTCCCAAGTTTGGGTCCCCAGAGGTTCTTGGACTAAAACTCCCAGAAGCCTTCACCGCTAGTTGTGCTGGTCAGGATTTATGGGAGTTGTAGTCCAAACGCATCTGGGGACCCATGATGCTAGTCCCTCCACAGAACATAGGGAGGTCGGCCAACCTACAGACCCTCCATTGACATGTCCCATCTTGGCTCACTGGCAGTATATGCACACACACACACACACACATACACACACACACACACACGAACACACAAACACACGAACACACAAACATACACATAAGGAGCAATGACTCTCCTCTGAGCGGCTCCATTATGTAAAGCAAACTAAACCTCCGGGAACGTTTCCAGATTGCTCGTTAGCTGATTAACTGTGCTTGCTGTCTCCCTGCCCCCACAAGGACCTGAGGAGGAACGGTGGCTCGCGCCGCAACCCGAAGCGTTGGTCGGGTTGGGAAGCGCAAACTCTCAAGATGGAGGGAGGCACGCTGGCTGGGGCCCAAGGCTGGTTCTGATCAGCGGAGGGGGAAAAGGGAGGGAGAGATAATAAGGAAGATGCTGAGAAAGATAGAAAGCACCGACTGAGGCTCTTTATGCATTTCCTTTTGCTGAGAAGACAAGGCTCAAGTGCAAAAGGGGTTGATCTGCGAACGGACCAGGTGACCTTTCTTAACGAAAACCATTTAAATGTTTTCAGCAATTCATATAGAAATGTAACTTTGGAGAGAACGTGGGTTCTCCTCTTCCGTTCTCCTTCCCCAGTTCACTCCTCCCAACGTCTTCCACCCAAGCTTCCTGACTGTGCCCCAGTGCTTGCTGGGAGCTTCCTTTCTGAACAGGAAGTTGGGTGGAACTAGGCCTAGCTCAGCCTCCAGGTCTTCAGGTTGAGGCCTTTCTCCCAGGTGAGCCACATTTGAGGTGTCTGTAAGGCATCTGAAAGTAGGTGGAGCTCCTAGAATTGAGAATCATGGCATTTGCAGTTTTAAAAAAACTATTCCAAAATCACATGCCTAACCCTAACCAGTGAACAGATTCTTGAGCTATAAGAGCTCCTAGAAATGAGAATCATGGCATTTGCAGTTATTTTTTTAAAAAAACTATTCCAAAATCACATGCCTAACCCTAACCCATGAACAGATTCTTGAGCTATAAAATCCCCAACCATCCTTCCGTCTAAGAAGAACAAGGCCACCGAAGAACCCAACAAACCACTACATATCAGGGGTTAGTCATGGTAAATCACTTGGCTATCTGCACCCTGAAAGCTTCATTCTGTTCCATTAGTCCCAAAAGAAAAGTGACAAGGAGAGAGGAAACAATCTCGTCAAGCCTAGGTAACTTGATTTTTTTTTTAAAGCTAAGCCTGATTAGGCCTTTCTCCAAGAGACATCACATTAGGTGTTTGCAAGATGCCTGCAAAGTAGAGAGAACTCCCAGAATGCAGAATTATGCCTGATTATGCTGTTCTCCAAGAGGCATCACGTTCAGGTGTTTGCAAGATGCTTGTAGAGAGAACTCCCAGAATGCAGAATTATGAGATTTGCAGTGCCGAACATCTGAAAAGGCCATGCTTAAGACAACGTCAATTTCAATTTTTCCATTTGCCTGTTCCTAGCAGCGTCTCATGTATGAACATTCAGATATCACCGCGAAGCTCTCTTAGGCATGCTTGCGAGAGAAACACCACTTTCCAAATGCCACATTTCAACCTGTTCTCAGTCCAAGAGGAAGGTGGCCACCAAACGCATAATTAGGTAAGGGCAACCTCTCCTTGGCTTGATTTCATTCACCCTTCGCGCAAACAAAATCTGATCCTAGGTAATGTCCGCAGAAGGCCATTCGTGTAAATCCCGGTGTCAGACTATTGCAGATGTTTGCTGCTGTGTAACTCGACATGCAACCACATATGGCGACATTGATGCCTTAATTTCCAAGCTGTTGTTCAATGATTTTATTTAAATCCTCCAAAACCAAGCCAGTTCATTGGCCCACCTCTTTCCTAACCACCATGACATATATTACCCGTGGGATGCAGAAGTTCTCTGGGTAGGATGCTGCATGTTCATCACTATGACTGTGAAAAGAATGCAGGGAGAGGAGAGAGCCCTTTTCAAATCCTTGAAAGGTAGTCCTAAAGAGGAGGGGCAGGATCTGCTCTTGATCATCTCAGAGTGCAGGACACGTCATAAGTGGCTCAAGCAACAGGAAGCCAGATTGAGGTTGAATATCAAGAAAATCTTCTTAACTGTTAGAGCAGTACAACAACAGAACTCATGGCCTTGGGAGGTGGTGAGCGCTCCAGTGTTGGAGGCCTCCAAGAGAAAAATTGCACCACCCTCTGTCAGACCTGCTTTGATTTGGATTCCTGCCTTGAGCAGGGGGTTGGACTTGATGGCCTTCGAGGGGCCCCTGCCAGCTCCATCATTCTATGATTAAGGATTCACTGTCCATCAGTCCCCAGGTCCCGTAAAGCTCATTACTGCAGAAATCCACGCAGGACAACGCAAAGTTGCGGTTTGAGAGGCATTTCAAACTTGGTCAAACCAAGTCCAGGCAATCCAAGGGGCAAGGGATTCAAGAACAAGAGGGAGGCGCAGAAATCCAGGCAGGACAACGCAAAGTTGCGGTCTGAGAGGCATTTCACATGGTCAAACCAAGTCCAGGCAGTCCAAGGGGGCAAGGGATTCAAGAACAAGAGGGAGGCTTTCAGACAAGTTCTTTCCAGAAGCTTGTTGAACCCACTGAGGGTTTTTGTTCTGTAGTTGCGCCGCTGGAGACCCACCTGGCACTCAGCAGAAAGCATTCAGATGTCAAGGGAAGACCTGAACTGCAGGGCTCGCCCCCCCCCCAGTCTCCCTGGGAGACCACTTACTCATGAGGAGACCTCCCCTGCAGCCAAGCACGCTGCCTTGGGACTTCCAATGAAGGGCTGTGTCTTCTGCTTTCTTCACGCCCGAGAGCTGGGAGGTCATCTCCCGCCCCTCCCCAGACTCAGCTCCTGAGGCCCCATCATCATCATCCACAGGCTCGAGTTCCAGGACTAAGCAGGTCTTCCGACAACCCCTTAAGGCTTTGGAGTCTCCAGTTCTTCAGGCTCATCCTTGATCCCGTCCTGAGGTCATGACAGTCCTCTTGAAATTGGGACGTACTTCCCACGATCAGGAATTCACCACTGATGGCTCTTTGTCACCATGCCAACAGTAACTCTGGACACTCTGTGTTTCTCCTAATTGCCTGTTTTTGCCGACTGAGAGTGATAAATATAATAAGAAAACACCACTCTCCGTAGACATGCCCTTCTCTGAAATAAATCAATAAACCAATTAATCAAAATAACGGGCTCCGTGTTTCTATCGCATGGAGAATCCGATCCTTTGAAAGTGAGATGTGTGTGATGTAAGGCACATTTCCCACTAAGAAAGTGTCCTGAATTCATCAAAATGCATGAACACGGCAACACTAAGTGGGAATAATTCTGCAAAGGCGTCAAATCATTTTATTGCCAGGGAAGTGTGAGGTTTTTTCCCCGGAGTCAATCCAACTCTATCCAAACCACTCTGCGTGAGATCACACAGACAGACAAGAGAGAGAGAGAAGAAGCAGGGGAGTCTTCTCTGGCTTTGAGCCGAAACTGGCAAGGAGGTGCTCTCCAAGGTGCTGAACCAATCTCAAGTTTGGACTAAAACCCACTGCTTCCCCTAGAAACGCTGAAGTTACTCCCCTCCCCTGGTTGGGTGTCATATCAGGAAGGGTAGCATTATCAGCACTGCTGTAGCTCCGTATAGCTCCAGGAGGGCACGACAGGAATCTGGGCCAAGAAAAGGAGACGACCCCACCCAAATGATTTTTGACACCCTCTGGGAGAGGCACTTTTCTTTTCTGGCAAAATTGCTACCTCCTCTTCACAGGAGGAGGAAGGAAGCCCATACGGCCCAGCAATACACGAGTGCCATTTTCTCCCCCATTACGAAGCCCGACGTGGCTCTCTCCATTCCAGGAGTTAATGGTGTAATTGCCACTACGGCGGCGTGAAGCTGTGCGGGAGACAAGCTCCATCAATCGTACTCATGGAACAGGAGCCTTTGATTGAAGGTCGCAAGGTTAACGCTTTTCCTTTCGCTGCGCCACAGCTGGGAGGCCGCAGCCGAGAGGGAGGCTGCGGCGCCGGATTGCTTTAGCGCCACATCGGGCGGGTGCAGCTATCAAAAGCTTGGCCCCTTGGCCCTGCAGAGGAACGTGAGCCACTAAGAGCAATGATCTCGGAAAGCCAGAGTCAAGTAGGTTAACAGCAGGGCAGAGGAAATTCAATGAGGCAAGATTTCCGCCACAAAAATCTCATCCAGGGCCTCCTCTCTGTTTCAGTCCCCATCATCCTCCCGCTCTTCTCCCAGCAGATATCTAGAGGCTACATAACAAGCCAGCATCTCAGAGCTGCAAAGAAGAATTTCATTGAATCATAGAGTTGGAAGGAGTCTCCAAGGCCATCAAGTCTAGCCCCCTGCTCAAGAAGCCAGCATCTCAGAGCAGCAAAGAAGAATTTCATAGAATCATGGAGTTGGAAGGAGTCCCCAAGGCCATCAAGTCTAACCCCCCTGCTCAAGGCAGGAATCTGACTCAAAGCAGATCTGACAGAGGGTTGTCTTAATATTCTCTTGAAGGTCTCCAGTGTTGGAGCGCTCACCATCTCCTGAGTCTTGGTTCCATTGTCGTACAGCTCTAACATTTCCCCAATACTCAGCCTAAATCTGGCTTCCTGTATAACTTGAGCCCCTTATTACATGTCCTGCACTCAGGGATGACTGAGAACAGATCGTGCCCCTCCTCTTTAGGACTACCTTTCAAGGATTTGAAAAGTGCTATCCTGTCTTCCCTCAGTCTTCTTTTCTCAAGGCTAAACATGCTCAGTTCTTTCAGTATTTCCACATAGGGGTTGGTTTGCAATATCGTGATCATCCTTGGTGCCCTCCTCTGAACTTGCTCCCATGCAGCATCCAGAACTGGGCACAGGACTCAAGATGAGGGCTAACCAGTGCTGAACAGAGGAGAACTAGTACCTCATGGGATTTGGAGGTGGTGGTTGTTTAGTCATTAAGTCGTGTCCGACTCTTCGTGACCCCATGGACCAGAGCACGCCAGGCCCTCCTGTCTTCCACTGCCTCCCGGAGTTGGGTCAAATTCATGTTGGTCGCTTCAGTGACCCTGTCTATCCATCTCGTCCTTCTCTCGCCTTCAAACTTTCCCAACATCAGGGTCTTTTCCAGGGAGTCTTCTCTGTTCAAAAAATGGCCAAAGAATTGGAGCCTCAGCTTCAGGATCCGTCCTTCCAAGGAGTACTCAGAGTTGATTTCCTTCAGAATTGATGGGTTTGTTCTCCTTGCAGTCCAGGGGACTCTCAAGAGTCTCCCCCAGCATTTGGAGGCTACACTTCCGTTAATGCAGCCTAAAATCACATTTGTCTTTTTTGCAACCACATTGCATGGCTGGCTCATATTCACTTTTGATCTTCCACCATCTTCTCACTCGTAGCATTACTGAGCCAAATATCCCCCATCTTGCAGGTGTGCACTTGGTATTTGCTCAGGTTTATCAGGGTTACGGTTTTGGCCATACCTCTGGAACGTCCTCCACAGTGATGGGATTCAGCAGGCCAACAAACGGTTCTGCAGAACCAATAATACATTAGCAACCGGTTCTGTAGAACTGGTGCTACGGTTTTGGCCATACCTCTGGAACTTCCTCCACACCTAGCATGCTAGGGACCGACAACATACCAAGGGTTCTGCAGAACCAATAATACATTAGCTACCGGTTCTGTAGAACTGGTGCGAACCTGCTGAATCCCACCACTGGTCCTCCACACCCAGCATGCTAGGGACCGACAACATACCAAGGAGAACAGATACCACCTTGAATCCACCAGATCATGGCTGATTTGGGAAGCTGGACAACGTTGGCACTGGACTCATATTGGGCTGCAATTCTACTAGAGAATCTTGACAATCACAAGCTAGGAAATGGTCCAGCCTGAAATCCTGGGGGACCCATGGCTGTAAACCAGAGTTGGCAATATTATGCTAGATGGACCGAGGGCAGCCACCTTAAATCCCAAGGGAAATGTCATAGCACAGAGGAGCAGTCTCTGCTCTGCATGCAGAAGGTTCCAAGTTCAATCCCCACCACCAGTAGATAGGGCTAGGAAAGGATGTTGCCCCCCATAGCTGCCCATCAGAGAGATCAAGGCCTGACTCTCTATCAAGCATGTTTGAATGTTCCTATGCCTCCATGTTTAGGAGATAAGCAAGCCAGAGTAAGTACAGGGATGGGGGAACCAGCATGGAATCCCAGGATTTCCAGAGAGGGCTAAGACAGAAGACTGTTTGAAACCTACAAGATCTATTACGTCCAGTTAGAATTCACAAGACCGGACTAAGTGGATCTGACTCAGGAGATCTGACTCAGAAGAAGGCACCTTCTCGGGTAACGTCCACATGGTCCTCAGATCTGCTGCCTAGCCATAGCAAGAGAAACAGACCATCTCTCCATCAATCCGTCCCAGCCAAAACGCGGAGCTCTGTGTTGCCTGATGCCCCCAGTCCCCTGGCCTCCCGCCCGTCACTCCACCGCCGTTGTGTTGAGCACGCATTGCTGGCTGTGGCGCCCACCTGCGTGCCGGGAGCAAGCCAGCCTGTGGCATGACACACGGGCGGCGGTGCAGGAGCCCTGCGGAGATGTAAGACGGCGCCCACCTGCACAGTTGTGTTTAGCACTCAAACAACCAGGAGCCCTCGAGGTTTCTAGTGGGCTCGTGTGGGATACTAGTGACACCCAGTGGTCCTGGCAGTGTTGTGGGGGAAGATCCTGCTGGATTGTGTGTGTGTGTGTGTGTGTGTGTGTGTGCGCACGCAGTTGTTTTTTTCCATCCAGGAGATCTGCTTAGAGAAGAAAAGCTGAACAACCCCCCCCCCGCCCTCATGCCTCTGTGAAGGACCAAAGGCAGATGAACAGATTTAAAGGGAACACATACCAGCTACAGAAAAAGAGGTGGGTGTGAAATTTCCATTTGGTGTACTTAATTTTCTGATAAGTACAACATCCCAGGGTTTGCACATTATGATCAATAGGATTAAACAACATTTAAATGCAGAAGAAAGCAAGCAAGAAGGAGCAGAAAGCTTTTGGGCGCTTAGCTCAGAAGATGTGGGATTTTCCTTGTGTACATCAGTTATCTTTCCAGGGCTGAAATTTTTTAGCGCTCCTGCTTTTCTGATCGGCTCTTTGTTATGCAACACAGCAGATCATCACAAGAAGATGTTCTTGATTCCAGGAATAGTTATAGCTCTTAGCCTGGCTGAGACAAAAGGTGGAGAATTTCCTTACGAGTCCTCTGTGTGGTGTGAAGAGTGAATCTTCAAGAAAGCAAAACTAATAAAAGCCCATTTATTAATAGGGAGGAATAGATAAGGGTCTTTTTTTAAAAAATTGTAGATAAACAGGTTTAGGGGCAGATGGTCAGTTCAGGTAAATGAAGCATTGGCCCGACTCAAAATACTCCCAGATGTCTCACAGCTGTCCAGAGATAGCTTGTGATTCCAGGTTTTCAGGGGCAGGCAATCTGCTCCGGGTTTTAGCTGGAACTTTACTGGATTTATCTGAGTATAGAGACCTGTTGGCCTGCTAATCAGAGATGAAGGATCAGGCAATCTCTGAGTCCCTTCTGCACCGATTCCATTTAGTATCTATAAACTTGCTGCGTTTTTGTTTTAAATGTCGTCTTTGAATGATGTGAGCTGCCTTGGGGGTCTTCTTAAGGAAGAAGGTGGGGAAGAGATATTTCAAACGAATACAATAAATGTGAAGATTTATTAACCATGTTGTGGGGGGGGGAAGAATCCATATGCTTCACTTAGGGCCGATGTTTCTATGCACGGTCCCGAGGATTAAGGCATGCTTGCATTTTAGAAAGGGAAGCAGAGTGTTTCATTGCATTTTTCAAATTTATATGTTGCAAAATAGTTTTCTTCTTCTTTTTCTGCCAGGGATGAACATATCACAAGCCTGGAAGTGGACAGGCTTCTGATAACAAATGGCATCATTTTTCATGAGACAAGCAGATCAAGTAAATCCTTTTTTTTAAAGAATAAGAACCTTAGTGGAGTGAATTTTTCCCCACTCGTCAGAGAGAAAAGGAGACTTAGCTTTGGTTTCCCCTCACCCTTGATCTCTTCTTTTTGTGAGCAGGGACAGAGGGCGGGCTGGCCGGCAGATGTGAGCCAGTGGAGATGCTAGCCTTACCACCCTCCAGAGGTTCTGCCCCTCGAATGGCTTTTGTAAAGTACATCTTTAAATCTGGAGTAAATTCCGTGCTCCTATGGCTCTGGAGTCTACACCGTTCACTTGTTCTGGGTTCTGCTGTCTAAGTTCTGATTGGACCACAAGCCCTGGGAAATTTGACCCGCCTATTAAAGGCCTTGCCTCATGACATTGTCCATGGTGATGTTCTGGGAAGCTTAGAAGGAGAGAATAAAGGGGAAATTGCTGATTTAATATCTCGTAACCGTTCCCTGGCGTAAACTCTGTCCGGTTGCATGAGAGCTGCCATTATGGATGACCTTCTGATCAACTGTGCCCATGGGCCTGCATAATCATCACACTCCAAATTCCTCTAAGCCCAGGGCTGTCATGGCAACAGGTGCCGACCAATTCAGCTCGTTAACTATGCATTGTATCAAAATGTCCAAGGCACCCGTTCTTTTCCTCCTTCTCTTCCGCTGTCTATGAAACCAATGGGCCCATCACTCTCCATCCCTTTCATTGGCTTGGACCCAGACTTCCTCCTGCATCAAACTTGGTGGGACCTACCCCCTGACTAACTAAAGTCCTACCAATTAAGTCCCAGTGACTTTTCTGCAACTGCACTGAAGGGTGGACACAACCCTTTGGAAAACCTTCATGACAACTCCGTGAATGAGTGATCTCGAAAGGGTCCTCTCCTCAACAGCCCTATGCCACTCTTTTAAACTCAAGGTTGTGGCTTCTTTTAGGGAGCCAATCCATCCCGTATTTGGTCTTCCTCTTTGCCTGCTGCCTTCTGCCCTTTTTTTTTTAGCATGATGGTCTTTTCCAGAGAATCCGGTCTTCTCATGTGGTGCCCAAAGTAGGACAGCCTCGGCGTCATCTTTTCTTGCCTCCAGAGATCGTTCAGGCTTGATTTGATCTAGGATCTAGTTGTTCATCTTTCTGGTGGTCCAGGGTATCCTCGAAGCTCTCCTACAGCACCACATTTCAAACAAATGAATTTTTCCCTCTAATCAGCTTTCTTCTCTGTCCGGCTTTCAAACCCATACACGGTGACTGGAAATTCAAGAGTGTGGATGGTCTTGGTTTCCAGTGAACATATCCTTACACATATCCCATGTTTTCTAATTCCGTCTTTGCTCCCTTCCAAGTCTCAGTCGCCTTCTGATTTCTTGATTGCAGTCTCCATTTGGGTTGATGATTGAACCAAGATATACAAAATCTCTATTTCATTTTTTAAAAAATATCTTAGAAACCGCTGTCCCTGTGCAGTACGGTTCTAAAATCTCCTTGAGAGTAAGTCCAACAGGTCTCTAGAAAGTTGGACACAACTGAATAGAAGGAACAAAAAGCAAATGGACAGCATTTTAGGATCCTCGTGGATGTTGGCAAGTGGATCGTGGCTATTTCAGCTTCCAGCCCATGTCAAGAGCAATGGAGGCCGGCGACCCCAATGTCATAGGGCAGGGGGAAAGCCCTCCAGATCTCTGCTTACAAAGGAGCTGTCTGCTGGGCTGATCCAGTTTTGGGGAATAGGTTGAAGCACCTCAGATAGCTCCTGGAAAGATCAAATTCAAACCAAGAGCGGATTTATTGTTTCAGAGTGGTGGGAAAATTCAGGGTGGAAAAAGGATCTCCAGAACCATGGTGGCCCTTTGGAATCCATTCTCACACGTGGGCTTGGGAGTCACCTGTAAGGTGGTGGGATCCCATCTCATCTAGCTCATGGACTACTCACCCCAAGGAAGAGATGACCTTCTCTCTTGTTTTCGTATCTGCTGCCTCATGCGCTCTCACAGAGAGCTCTTAATATTGACCCTATTATCATCATCCCATCAGCAGGGGCAGGTTTTATCAATTCCAGATCAATGCCACAAAGCAGGGCATCAATTCTTGTGGCCTGACAGCCAAGGGTGGCTTTCATCTCTGCGCTCATGACATTGACTCCTGGTGGACACGACCAGCCACCTGCTAGGTTTTAGCCATCTCCCTTTAGCCTGGAGGTCCAGCCAACCATCAAACCTCTTAGCGGAGGAGGGACGCCCCATATTTCATTATTATTGCATTCTATATTAGTGCCGCTCTGAATAGTCTTATCGTTTTGGTCATCGGCTAGAAAACAGAAATGACGAGAGGTCACCCACCCCGAGGGATGGGAGGAACATATCCCAAACCTCACTTGAGACCTCCCCATCTTTCAGTTTTCTTCCTCCATGGAAACTCCTGCCCCTGAAAAATATGCTTCCATGGAAGCTCTTGACCTCATCCCTCCTGTTATCACTTCCCTCTCTCAAACAACGTCTATACATTCACCCTATCCCATCCTTAATGTTAGGAAATCTCCACCAAACCTTCAAGGTAGTACTCTAGCCCTGCTCCTTCTCTAATTTCCATTAGTTTGAACATGTGGAGGATAGTTACACAGGGCAGCTGATCCTGGCTAATTAGGGAATCCTAGCTAATTAGGGGTTCTAGCCAACTAGGAACCCTAGCATAGTTGGGATCACATAGCGAGTAGGACTTCATGACTTAGCAAACCAGAATTGGCCTACATTGGCTCATCAACGGAACTTATATGAATCATGTTGGCAATCTTACTACATAGCTAATGAGAATTTATTGTTTAGCAAGTGACAACACTTAGGTAGATACGGTTGACTAAAAGAGACAGCAAGAGAACAATGCTGCCCACCAAAAAATAAAAAACTAATTTAAAACATTGGTTCCCCGCTCTTTGACCACCACTTCTACTGGAAATAGTCACCCGAAATTGTAAGTAGTTTGGGATCAGTGTGTTCCAGGATGCGTATTCCGTGTTTTAAGGTTCAAAACTTACTCCTGATGTCCAAGCCTTCTCTGATCTGGTGTACTCTACCTGTGTTGGGGATACAGGACCCCAAAATAGACGCTGTCTGGAAATTTCTGGGGTTGTGTAGCCCAACGCCAAGAGAACAGGAGATTGGGAGAAACAGATGCACAGATCTAATCCTGAAACTGATGCATCTCAAGACCCAGCAGGATTCAGATGGAAGAAAAACCTTCTCAGAAAAGGAAAGGAAACCTTGTGTTGACAAATGAGAATTTTTGAGATTCAAGTACTCCCAGCCTCACAATTCAGCAGGAACATCCCAGGGATGATGAGTAGTGTTTGGGTCCAAGTCCCAAATCTGAGTCCCTATTAAAAATAAGCTCTCCTGCCCACCCCGAAAAATGGTAGGGGATGAGTGGGTCCTGAGT